TATGATATTAAATTAATCCAAACCCGATGGTCACTGCCTCTTTTCTAAAATTTCGTTTAGAAAAAGTTTTTAGCGACCTTAAGTGTTTCTAATTACTCTAATATTTTTTATATAAATTTTAATAAAAACCTCTTCTGTAACAAAAATGGAAATATTCGATTGCATACTGAAATAAATGAAAACTTTACGGTTTCTAATGGGGCTTTTATTTTTAACTCTGCTACTTTCTTTGCTATCGAAATTTATTAATAAAACAAAACAACAACTATATATATAACAACAAATGATTTATTAAGTTACTTAGTAAGACAGTTTTTATTAGAACGCTGAAAGTCTATTACCCATCATCACATATTATTTTAGGTTTTAGTATTACCACAAAATTTAAAATAAACATTGTATTAAACTAAAAAGGGGTTTGAAATTTTAAAAATATAATATAAAAGTCCAATAAACTTACTTTAGAAAATATTATTAATGCCACTTTCTAAATCAACTTAGTAAAGTCAGAAATGAAAAAAAACCTTTTTTGCAGTTAATAGACAAAATTTGTGTAAAAACTAAGTGTATTAATATAGTCTCAAATTTAGGAATATAGGAACTTATACTCTCGTATTATACAATTAGTTCCATTTTGCTAAAGTATTGAAGGCTTAACTACAGTAAATCAACATTTTAATAGAACGTGCACTAAAAACAGAATTTTTATTATATCCGTTTTGTTGAAAAAAAACAGTATGTACATAGTATAACAGTACACATATAGTATCCAAAAAATTCTAATTCTATTGTATTATTCTGATTTTATGTTTGATAAATTAGCTTGGCCAAATGTGTTATTTCCAAGCGCTAAGCAATTTGTAACGCGCAATTCTATCATCAATGGTATTTAATTAACTTTAAAAAAATTCCTAAAAGTCAGTGAAGTCATTCAAGTGACTCTATATGATACTTTACTTGCTTTAAGAAATATATGCTTTTAAACCGCTTAATTTTATCTATACGCCAAAATTTTAATAGCAATAATGTTGATATTTCTAAGTAATATAAATAATATTTATTTAACAATTTAAAAACCCCCCCAAAAGAAAAACTAGTGACGCAGACAAATACTCAAGAGCGCAAAGCTGATGAATTGGCGAATTTTGGTTTGCAATAATTGCATTGTAATGTGGCATTCTCTTATATGGTATATCCGGTATATATATATTATATGGATATTCTGAAGTGTTTTGATAAGTTTAAAAATTGAAAACAAAAAATTCAAATTAATTTATTAAACTTTTATTAATTTGTTTAATAATATTTTTTTAGTTTGTAATAATTTTTTTTAAATTTATATTTTAAGATATTTTTAAAAAAATTTTTTTTTTTTAATTTTTTTTATTGTTAATTGATTTTGTATTTTTTTCATACTTTTTGTAATTTAGTTTTCATGCTTATTGCTGTTCAAAAGCTGCTTAGTTCTCATTACAGCTCATTTTCACTCAACAGCGAAATTGTATGCGTTATTTTTTACAAGCTTTCATATTTTGCTTTTCATTTCATTCTAATTTTTTATAGAAATTTCTCGTATGTAATAACAGTCAAAATTGCATTGCAAAATTGTTTGCAAATTACATTTGAATGCATAAATCTTTGTGTGCTCAACTGGAATTGCCAGAGGCTAATTTTACTGCTCCAAATAAGTAAATTGATTATAAAAAATGAAATTATCTGTAGTAAATTAATCTAGTTGACATTCGTAAAAGCTACCGACTTTAATTTAATTGTTGTAAAAACATATTAATATTTTTTCAAACACGTTTATTTTCTTTATTTGTTTTATTATTATTCAACAAAGCGTTCGTGTATACGTGATGTGTTTTAAAAATAACGGGAATTTTAAAATTAAAATTTCGCCAGTTTGGAGAGGCAAATTGTCAATTTTTTTTTTTATTATCTTGATATACATACATGCCCCTAAAGTACGATAAAATTTTCAGCTGTATTCATTGCTAGCTTTGTCTATAGCAGCCGCTAAGGCTAGACGTGTTTTTATGAGTTTGGCGATTTTCGTTTGTTAAAAGAAATAGATGAAAGAATTGGTTCGTTAATTCTTGACCAAAAACCATACTGTAACTATGCCCAAGCCTCCATATTCGCCATACATAGCTGCGTGCGACTTTTTTCCTATTTGCAAAAATAAAGTAAAACTTAAAGGACCATCATTTCATAGTATAAAAGAAAATCGAGTTTGAGAAGTGTTCCGAAGATTCGAAGAAGCGGTAGTGTAAGTGCGAATGGCCACTATTTTAAAGGTGACAACATAAATGCAGGCAAATGGCGGCAAATTATAAAAATTCATCATTTGTATTATTGCCCTAATTTGCTATCATTAGGCTATATCTATTAAATATTAAGGCAAATTTTAATTAAAAACATATATTCGCCATTGTAAAAGCTGACTTATTATTATTATTTTAATATTGTTATTTTCCGTATTTAATTTTATTATATCTCACTTTATAATCTATAAATTTCAATTACTTGTTCTTAATGACGTTATTGTTTAAAAAAAAACTCGATATTATTTCATTGTTGGTTAATTAACTTAAGCCGTCTACAAATTTATGGCGGATATTCGGTTTGGCTTTGCCTGGGTGAAAAACAACAACACCAAATGTAATCTGCTTGATTTTCAATCAAGTACAAAGTTTTTTCTTCGAATAACTTCGTTTTTCTTCAACTAATTTTGTCTAATTACAGATGTTGAGTAAGTATAGAGTTATGTAAATACATATGTATGAGCTGTTTTTGTTTTATCCCTAATTAAGTGTATTGTGGTCATACTGAAATTATTCATTTCAAGTTGTGTACAATTTCCCTGGTACTTATAAAGTTAATATTGAAATAATTGCAAGAAAAAGAGGCGCATATTTTTACAGTAGTGGCTCATGCAAGGTTATCAGTAATTAATTTTTTTTATTAAAATCTAGTGATGAAAACTATACTTAAATTGTAAGTAATCGAAAAATTGTCACTTCATACAACAAATTAATTAATTTATAATACATATTATTTGATTACTTAAAATTTAATTTTGGATTTTTTTTATAGCTAGATTTTTTTATCTAGTTTGCAGATGCAAATTTCATAATAGACGATATCGTTTTATTCGATTACGTTTAAATAATCAGCGTTAAGCTAATAGTTATCTATATAAAACCTACTACAAATGCATACCTAGCTATGAGTCTAGCTTTAGCATGCCTCTGTAACTTGCCTTTTCCACACATTTTACTACCCCAATGCCTTACATCAAAAGCGTCAACGATTTATAAACGATTTATGCAGATTTGTACGCTCAGCAGATGTTGCCGCAGTCGCAATTTCACGTTGGCACTGCAATTCAGTGTTCACGTGATCTTTCCAGTTCATTGATTCATAGCAAATCGCATATATAACGAACATTTACAAGTCGGCTAAGTGCTCGTCGATCATATGCATATCGTGTAACACAAATGCGGCTCCTGCTGTTTTCTCACAGAATCGATAGCACTATCAAAATTATATATAAGCATGTCACTTTTAATCGCTGCTACGTACGCTCAGCGGCGTTACTTTTGCATTTATAAAATCAAAAAACTTTATAAGAAAAAACAAATTGGTAAATAAACTATAGTGGCTCGATCAACACTCTATTGAACGAGCAAATTATTCAAATGCAAATGTAAAGCGGTGGGAGGGGCATTTTAATATATACGACTTGTGCATATCTGTGTGTGTGCGTGTGTTTACATTCTGTAACTGCAATAAAGATGAGTGCTACTTAATAGGTTTCACTGTGCGATCGCCATTTGGAGGCTCTTCCGACAGACAAACAAGTTAACCGTATGAGAGTCGCGGCGCAGCGTTTGTTGTACGATTTGATTTCCTATTGTTTCCGGTTAAAACTAGATATACATATATGAAATGAAAACAAAATGTGAATATCTACATATATTTCATTAAACGTTGTGTAGTGCTGTTGGAATTTTCCGACGTTATTAGTTACAAGTTTATTAGTAGACATACGCGCACAAATATAATATTATTCATGCATGCATATTTATAGGCAATCAGTGGAGAAATGGTGGTGCATTTATTACTGTTAACGATTACAAACGATGCGATGACATTTGTTGCTAGCGCATTTGGGCGGTTAATAAATTGTGGTTAACTTTGCAATTTTATAAAATTAAATAGTTTAATTTTTTTGATGAATTTCTCTCTTGTAAAGAAATTTGTACGTGAAAGCAATAAGAAAATTAAACAGTTGAATTTAATGAGTTATATTCGTTTCGCAGATATTGTAAGAATTTTTAACTGAATATAATCGGCTTCCAAAGCTTTAAACACGTTTTTCTTGAAGCACCGTGAAGGTGAGAAAAATTGCTCCGAAACAGCTAGACCGATCGACTTGAAATTTTCACACGACCTTCTTAGATATATTTATATTGAAATAATATTTTTGATAATAGTTTCCATATCTTAAGCCAGTCTCAAGTGTAAATTTTTTAACAAAACTCTACTTTTTTTTTGGAGAGCCATCATTTTGTCAAAAATCTAAAAAAAAAATCACAATAAAACGTTTTCTTTCTGACCCGTTTAGTAAAAGAAGGCGAAGCTACATTATTACTTTGGTAGCAAGCGATCATCAATTGATTTCTATTCGATTATGGTTGTCTATTCTATTTTTGCCAGTTGTCTGCTCGATTCACCACTTATCCATTCTGAACCATTTGAAGACAGTTAATTTTATCAAGTAAGTGACCAGAGGAAAGGCTTTAGGGTTTTTAAAAAATTTTTGAATAATAAATAAAATGTAGAATTTTTAATAAATTTGGACATTTTTTCAATCTTGTAACTAATTTTTTATACACGAGTTTCTATATTTCTACTAGATACTCATTTTATTATTATGAATTTATCAAAGTAATATATATATTTCAAAAAACGTCTTATATTTTTATTTGCAGATCTTTTCTAGATTTCGGGTGATGTTTGTAGCCGTTAATTTTATTCGTATATAATTGATGGGAATCACCAAAGCGGAACTTCTTGGTCAATTAGTCTAATCAGGTGAGTTATTATGATAGCGAAGAGTAAATAACTAAGAGCAAACTTAAAATATAGTTAATTAAATTGTGTAAACATAGATATACACACATATATTTATTTTTGTTCTTACCGTAAAAAAGGGACAACAATAATACGATAATAGTTAAAAATTTTGTATATAAAATATGTATACATGCAAAAAAATTATTAAAAAAATTTATAGCAAAAATTACATATTATGAGAAGCTTTCTCCTTGCTAAAATATTTTATTTTTCAATAAACTAAATTAAAAAACGGATTTTGTTTTATATTACTATATTCAATAACTGAACACCATCAACAATTTGGATTAGATTTACTGGCAAAAAAAATGTTTGGAATATAAAACAACTGTACATAAAAACCTATCGTAAATCTTACATCCTCTCTAAGATCTATTTTTACCTCCATATATGTGAAAATTGTCCAACTTACATAGTTTTTGTTCAAGTATATTGATAATGTTTCCGCACATACAGCCACTTTTATTGGAAAAAAAAAAAACTCAAACACGCACGCACCTATACATGAAATAACTTCAGAATCATCACACTATATGTTATATGACCGCACTCTCACCTTGGGTCATATTTTATACGCGACTTATCGCCACTTGAAAAGGTGTTGATCGCAGCTGCTTTGAAATTTCGACCGTATGGAGAGTTTGAGGACTTCAGCGTGTCGAAAAGAAATTAAATCAGAACAGAAAAATCGTTCGGTAATAATAAATTAATCATTGCAAGCGCTAATTTATTTCATACCACTTGTTATGTAAATCCCTCAACAGTTTCACAAAAGCTTGCTTAGTCATCTGATTAGCCACATTCTGATATTTCGTGAGTGATGACGAAGATTCTTGTGACGAAATATTTTCTAACAAATGGTGGAGTTGATTTTGTTTTCAATTTGAATTGTATGCTGATAGCAAAATTTAGCGAGTTATTATAATACCGTCATAAAATTTTTCCAAAGCAAAACAAAAACATTCGAAACGCTTCGAACAGTTCTTTTATGCAAATAAATGAATTCTCACTTCATTCTTTGCTGCTCTTCTCTATCATTCTTCTTTATTTAAATTAAAATTTACCGTTACAAAAACTCAATACCCAAAAAATGGCATTGATACTCATATATATATACATATGTACGTCTGTAGTATGTCTTTTGCAGTTAATTGCCTCCACTGCCATCACAGCTGATTGCATTTTGCATTTTTTCTCTAAAAATAGAATTTTTAATAGCCCCACACAAAGTGAAGGGAATAAAATATTTTTTGGCATTACAAAATTTGCTTCATTGCACACTGGAAAAAATACAAATACATACATACGAGCGTAAAATGTACGAAAATAACACAAGTATTAATAAAAATGCCAATATAACTTTAAAAATAGCCGCCAATATCTTTGAATGATGTGCAATACGAAGATGTATATTTATGTAATACATGTATATATGTATATGTATATATGGTAAGTAACGTCAAAATATTTTTTTACTGTTCAGAGCTCAGCAGGTCTAAAAGCTTCGCTAGGCAATAGAACAGGTGCGCAAGCAACAATTTTGGAAGGGAGGGGTTTTGCAAAAAAAATAAATTATAAAAAACAGTATTATTTTCAATGGAAAACTAACGGGATTTTTGTGCCAAATGCTGTGAAGCTACAGACGATCAATGTTATTGAAAAAAAAATTCAAACACTTTTTTTAAATAAAAATTGTAAAACTAACACAATATGTTAATCAGGAGGAATGAAGCACATTTAAATTTGAAATTTATCATTTAAATTCCGAATAAATAAATTCATGAGCGGTATACCATATATAGTACACTGAAAACTTAGACACTCATCAACATTAGTAACAGTATCTTTTAAAAATAAAAGGAAATCATCAGCGGTATATATTGTACACATAACTAGATGCTCAGTCCATTAGTAACCGGATTTCTATTACTTTCAGAGCATATCAATTTTTACTCATGCTCTCATAGCCAACCTCGGCATTTTGTATAAAATCTGTTAGTATTTTTGAACTAGCATTGACTAAGCTAGCCGCTTGTTTAAAGTCAATTAGCTTACTTTATGTAGTCGAAAATATGTAAGTAGGTTTAGGGGGTCAAAGCCCTCTTTGAGCACAGCCTTCACACAGGTATAGCATATACACCCGTAAACTTCAAGCAAACGTGCATTATTATGTCGCTGCAACATGTTGGCACTACTGGCAATCGTAAAGCAACAATAAAAAGCGAAAACAAAACTGCTTGCAATCGTGAGACGTTATTGCGAAACTTTAATTGAATTGCAATTACCTTTGCCATGGCAAGCGATAAAAAAGCATTAAAAAATTAGCAAACACAGCAAAAACCATCAATTGACCAATAAATAATAATCGACAGCTAGTGGCGGCAACAGCTGAGCACACAACAGTCCTTGCCGCAAATTCCAAACTTTTTACCGCATACATAACTTTTCTTGTGCTTTGTTGCCGCTCAACATCATCACCGCAGCTTTCGTTGTTGCGGAAGTTGCGCATTTGCGGTTTGCAATTTTCAGCATTGCTTCAAAAGGGAAAAAAATTGCATAATTAATATTTTCATAAGTACTATTGTATGTGCGCAATTTCTTACATATATACATTTTTTTGCTAACTGGCATTCTAATCGCCATGAAGGTCTGCCTTCCCACCGACTTGCAGCGCTCTTGCTTTCTTTCCATTGCGCATAGTGTATGCACATACAGTCGTACATATATACAGTTACGTTTCCATATTTCTTCTAAATGCCTTTTATACGGCAACATTTCATTTCACAAGTAGCAAATTAAAGTATCTAACAGCTACTGACAGTCGGAAGCAATTGGAGGTGTGAAAGAATGTAATAATTGTTGTGTTCATTAAGAAAAAATTTAAAGGAAAAAAAGAAAACATGAGCAACAACAACAACTAATACTTTGAATAAATATTAACTCAATTAAAGGCTAAGTGTTGGTGAATTGCTACTTCGCACTGGCGCTACAAAAGTGCCGAGTGATGTTGCCGTGGCGGTGTGTTTAGACTATGTACCGTTGATTAATTTATGAGTTTTGATAAGATCACTGTCGTTTCAATAAATGTCGACTAGTGTTATTTTAGTTATTTTATTTTTGTTAAACAAATAAATTGTATATATACAAGTCTATTAGTAATTTGTTTGTTTAATTAATTGCATATTTCCTATTACTATGGGAAACACTTCCGTCGGCACTTGCTCAATATTTACAAAAACAAAGAAAAACGTTATTAATAAATCACGTTGCAGGCAATTTGATAATGTTCATAATACTTTATTTACCGCTATGTTGAATGGTTGTATTATTAATAGCACATTACTGCATTTTGCATTAATTGAGTGACATAAATTCTTAATACACATATATAATATCCTATAATTTGATTCTCGAGAAATAACTATTAGTTGTAGCTAAAGCATTGGAGGAAGCTTTATGAAGAAATGTGGCCTATTTTTAATAGAAACATTTCTATAAACATTTTTTTAAATTTTTTTGAAATTTTTCGGAGATTCGTATCTTACATTCCTTGACTTTTCCAAACAAATCGTTGCTATTCAGAAGTCACTAAATTGTCTGCGAAAATAAGCATCCAATTGGTGATCCCAAGCAGAGAGCCAAGTTGATAAGTTTTTAAAAGTTTTATCGATTTTTCATTAATCGCTGGATGTCTTCTTTCTACTGGAGTTTTCATAACTTCTCAATAATAAGCTCTTATTTAAGGCTTTACATCCATTTGCAATTCAGAAAAAATTAGTTTAGTGATTTTGTGAGGCTTTTTAAAACTTTATTAGTGCTATAGATGGATACAGATAATGATCGAAGGACTATTTAAAATTTCCAAAATTTTTCTGGCATCCAAATTAAAAAAGAAATATGAATCGTAGTTCTGTTATGGTGGTATAATAAACTAAAGGCCAGAGTTTACCGATTATTTTATTTACACTCGTAATAAATAAATCGTCCAAATTTTTTTATGTATTCTTTATCTAAAATCTTTATCTTTATTATAAAAGCTTATTGCCAAGAAATGCAAGAATAAAAAAATATGATGGACAAATTGAGCGTTTATATAACCATACCTATATAGTACGCCGTCAGTAGACCTTCACTTGCGATACTTTGCCTGTATGTTTTCTTATCAGGTATTTGCCCTCAAATTTGACTTTTAAAATTTTTTCGATTATTCTCTAAGAAAAATGCTTCTCTTCGTGTTTCTGCCTGGCTGTCTCGCTATAAAAATAGGAAATCCGGCACTTTTGCATAAATAATTGCTGGAAGTACTCAACTATTTGCTGTTAATAGCAACAATTTAGCGACGAAACGAAAAAGGAAAGAAGATAATAATAATAAACTGCTTGAGAAAAAATCGGAAAATGTGCAAATCATATGAGAACAAAGCACAGTGACGATGGACAACTTCCGAAGCGCATTAAATAGCGGGTGTTGCAACAGCAAATATCACATACATATGTGTGTATTTATATGCATATGCAAATTGCCTACAGATTTATATAATTGTATAATATTATATTATATAATTGACGAGTGTTTCGTGCCGTTAGTTATCGTGTAGTGTTGTTGAGCTGTTATGTAGTTGTTGGTTTTATGAATTTCAGTCTTTGCATGCATTCAATGACAGATCTGTTGACGCGCAGCAGCAACTACAAATTGCTGTTGCAATATTTATTTAAAAAGAGCAACAAAGACACATATATATAACAACAATAGTTTTTTGATAATCTATCGAGATCATTTACGCTGTTAGCTGGTTTGGAAAACAACGTGTTCAGTGTCGTTCCAACGAATTTTATAACCAAATAATAGTAATATAAAAGTACATATAAATAATATAATAGAGGATAATTTCTAAGGAATATAAAATAATAACAATGCAATAAAACACTACATTGCACGCAATTTGCTGCTGCTAAAAT